GGTTGAAGGGTGTTATGGTGGGGTTAGGTGGGGGTAGGGGGGGTGGAAGGGGGTGGGAGGGGGGTGAGGGGGGTTGGAGGGGGTTAAGAGGGGTTCCAGGGGTTGCGAGGGGGTTACAGGGGGTTCGAGGGGGTTCCAGGGGGTTACAAGGGGTTACATGGGGTTAGAAGGAGTTACAGGGGTGAGAGGATGTTACAATGGGTTACAGTGTTTTGCAGTGGCTTACAAGGGGTTTCAGGGGGTTACAGGGGGTTACAAGGGGTTACAGGGGGTTACAAGGAGTTACAGGGGTTTAGAGGTGGTTACAATGGGTTTCAGTGAGTTACAGGGGGCTACAAGGGGTTACATGGGGTTATAAGGGGTTACAGGGGGCTACAGAGGGTTACAAGGGGTTACAGTGGGTTACAGGGGATTACTGTGGGTTACAAATGGTAACAGGGGCTTACAAGGGGTTACAGGGGATTAGAAGAGGTTATAAGGGGTTACAGGGGGTTACAACGGGTTACGGGTTGTTACAACGGGTTACAGAGTGTTACAGGGGCTCACAAGGGGTTACGGAGGTTACAAGGGGTGACAGGGGATTATATGGGTTTACAGTGGTTTTCAGTGGTTTACAGGGGGTTACAAGGGGTAACCGGGGGTTTCCTCTTCTACTCTCCTCCTTCCCCATTCACCCTTTCACACGCTCCCGCTCTAACTTTCGTGCAATAACTCGATTGGAAACTCTTGCTACGGAGGCTAACATGGCGTAAAATTACTCACCTTGTCCAATCAATCCTACCTGAGGTAACTTGAAGGAAAGGAACTGCTCTTTTTACCATGCGACTTAATTAAAAGTAAAAGCGATCGGCTTTTTCAATATATATTTATCTTTTTATTTTCACAGTCTGTTTAGCATACATGAGTATTGTAGATCTTTGAACCTCAAATGTGCACTGACCGGTATAAGAGGGGAACCGAAAGAATTAAAGCTAAAATAAGAAAAATAGAAACTAGAAAGTGATATGAACCACATGCTCCATAAACGTGCATTGCTAATATGGAGAATTCAGATTTAGCAAAATTAACATTTTTCCTCTCGGGTGATCAGTTATTTCTTTGATTTTCTTTGATGTTATCTCTATGTTTGATAAAGCTTCGAATTCTTTTTTGTCGGTCGCTTCAGTTAAGTATCTAAAAGGTGCATTTCTTTTGATCCGTTTTTCTCCTGTTTTTTATAATTATTTATTATATAGACACGAGTGTTTTACGGGAAAATATACCACTCGTAAAATTCATAAAAACTACATCCGGGACCCGAGTGGTTTATCTTCCATAATCTCACACGTGAGTTTATCGATGACGTAATTTCGGTAATTTCCCTCTATTATTTTAGCGATGTCTTTTTGTCTATATAATAAAAAGAATATGTGGCAAAAACAATAGCGTATTGCAACAAAAGGTAAAATCAAAGCGGTTTCTAAGTTAAGAACAACGAGGAAATCATTTATATCTATCCCTTTTCATAGTTGCCTAACTATGGCCAAGAAGCTGCCAAGACAAAAAGTGAAATAACAACTGTCCTGAGGCCATCGAAGGGAACGAATTGATTAGGTTTTATGAGGCCAAACCTCTTCAGGAATAACATCCGAGTCGATTTAAGCAACCAGCACCTGACTTATTGCTAGAAACCAGGGGCACCCAACGAGAATATAGTTCAAAAACACTTAGCATTGTGAACGTACTTTAGTATTTAAACGGTAGATATAGGCATATTTTTATCTCCTAAAAATTTTCATCTTTTCGGATTTCCTAGCTGAAAGTCGAGCGATCCGAAAATTATAGGGATCAAAACTTGCCTTTTCGAAAATTTCAGCCAGAAAAAAGGCTCCCGAAAATTCTAGGTGACCTTTTTAGGGTAAAAATCTGTTAAAAATGGGCATTTATACCATTTTTTAGATGCTCGAAAATCAAGGGCACCCAACGAGAATATAGTTCAAAACCACTTAAACACAGCATTGTTAAAGTATTTTAGTATTTAAAAGGTAGATGTAGGCATATTTTTATCCCCCAAAAATTTTTCATCTGTTCGGATTTCCTAGCTGAAAGTCTAGTGATCCGAAAATTATAGCGATCAAAACTTACCTTTTCAAAAATTTCAGCCAGAAAAAAGGTTCCCGAAAATTCTAGGTGACCTTTTTAAGTTAAAAATCCGTTAAAAATGGGCAATAATACCATTTAGTAGACGTTCGAAAATCCTAGGAGAGACAGACAAGCAAGTAATTTTACAACAAATGTTCCGAAAATTCTAGATCTTAAATCGTCTTCCGAACAGATATTTTCCGAAAATTGACGTTAGGTGCCCCTGGAAAATCCTAGGAGAAGCAAGCAGGCAAGAAATTTTACAACAAACGTTCCGAAAATTCTAGATCACTGATCGTCTTCAGAACAATATTTTCCGAAAATTGACGTTAGGTGTCCCTGAGGAACTACTACAAACTGAGTCTGTGAACATACTGAGTTGAATAACGGACGCAGAAGTACTCACTTGTCCCTTGAAAATTAATTTACCAAACTAAAGCTATGAGATTCTTAACAGCGTAAGTCAAAGCAATCATCCTGTTGTCCGAAACACTTCGCGTATTTCAAATTTAAGGTGCTTATTTACCCATACCTTAAATAAAGAATAGATGGGGTTATTTCTTAGATTAGGGTAGTCAAGCTTGCGGCTCTGTGCACAGGGGCGTAGCTAGGGGGGGTCCTGGGGTGCCCGTGACCCCCCCTTAGTAGGCCTTCTTTTGAGTAAACAACCTACAATATTCAAGTGGCAAAAACGCCATGACAATATCTTGGCCGTAAAAGACATTGTTGAAAAGCCCACTTTTTAAAATTTGTTTTTTTGTAAAGGTGTTTCGTCAACGGCTCTTGTCTTTAGTTAATATGGGCCTTCATGCCGCGATAATACGACTGACAATCTGGTGAGTAGCCTCTGTGACCCTCCCTTTGAAAAATCCTGGCTACGCCCCTGGTGCAACAAATAGTACATTGTTAACAGTTTGTAAAATCTGATGTTTGATTTAATTTGCTTATCCAGTAAGTTTCAGTTTAAAAGAAAACCTTTCTTTCACCGTAAAATCCACACCACTGCAAACTAAATGGTATCGGCTAAACTGGATAAAGAAGCGGCTCCTGAGGCCATAGGCATCATCAGTCCAAATTGACACGTTAAACTATATGTATTACGATCGCGCGGAATATCATGAGTTTCAGGAGTTCACACATAAAAATTAAACTCCCTTTCTTGCGCACTGAAACCTCTACAAAGCAGTTTCAATTAATCTGTTAACTGAGTGTGGTAATAGACACAAAATTTCTCACCTTGTCTAAATGAATCCAAAACCCCTGAGGTAGCACAAAGAAATGCGGAAGTCGGCTCGAAACTGCTAGATACTGAAACTGAGCTATTTGTAACATTTTGCTTCATTTAAATAAAGGGAAAGTCATCATGCTTCACTTCACTTCACTTCACTTTGAAAATAGAAGATGCAAATAACTAACTTCGCGTTTCATTAGTCGCCGTTAATCTTTGCTGATATCTTGATGCTCTATATTTATTTATTTTGTTTTGTTTTGTTCTGTATGTTTACTTTTGTACTGTCAAGTTTATAATATTTATGTGTACCACTGGCTGTATTTGTTGTGCCTCTTTCCTGACTTTCACATTTTCAATTATCATAATTACGATCACCCAGCTAGTTTAGCTTTTAAGTTATTTTGGGTGTCCCACTACTGTATGTACTTTTTGTTTATAATTATATTCTTGTAAACTCGTTTATTACTTGTCTGTCTGCAGTAGAAGAAATAAAAAAATAAACTGTTGCACATTGCCCTACTGAGTTATATTCGCATCGCACAGCTACATTATAGTCACCTTAATACGCGCTGTTTATCAACGGACTTGAAGGTTCAGGTAGAAACGTCTGCACTGGGTTTATTCGCCCCTTAAGCAAGCTAACTTGTCAGTGTGAAATTGGAATTCGAATTCCAATCGTTAACAGGATTTCGGATTGGCTTGGTCTCAATTCCAAACTCCAAGGCCCAGGACTCCAGATCCCACAAGGAAAATTTTCCCGGTTTGTGGATTGCACCATCCTCCGAGACCCAGGGCAGTCAGTCGAGGGGGTGAAAAGGCGCGACAAAAGTTTTCAAGCATGGGCGTAAGAGCCCTTACCAGGCAAGTGGGCAGGAGGGTTGCGTGACGATACTAAAAACGGCTGTGTACGGCTGTGTACCAGACTATTCACATCCCGCTTATAAACTGGGCTTCAAATTGTCCATAAGAACTCTGTAGGAAAAGACTGCCATGATACAGTCAACTCTCTCTAAGACGGACACCTTTGGGACCGGCACTAAGTCCCGGGCACTAAGTGTCCGTCTTAGAGAGGTGTCCGTCTTATAAAGCTAAAGAGTCAAATAAAGGGAGTAAAGAAAGGCAGGGACCAACTCTAAGTGTCCGTTTTACAGAGGTGTCCGTCTTATAGAGGTATCCGTTAAGAGAGAGTCGACTGTAAACGTTTTGATCCCTGTTACTTTTTCTAACAGCTAAGGATGTCCTTGACGCCAGCAAACGAGGATTCGATGTGCCCGGCTGGGCCGTGAAGTTGGAGCCGGCTACGAACACTTTGTGTGTGTGCAAAAAGCTTCCTAACAATTTTACAATAAACTTACAATTCTCAGATTACATTTCTTTGAGGGATTTTCTCTGAATACAGTGCTTTTTGAAAGGCAACAAAGCAAATGGGTTATGTATTGTTCTTGTCCATGATTGACTGTCTTGAATTGCTGCCATGTGTTCGCTTGGACACTGCAACGTGCCGAAAGAAGACCGCTTCTGAGCATGCTCGTTGGGCCTCTTGCCAGACAAAACCCTATTATTCTTCAAGTTCTTTCTCATCAGGTACAGCTGGAAGACAAAGCAGGTAGTAGTTGCTTTGCGCACTGCAACGCTGTCTTATCAAAGAGCTTTCCTTCGCTCAGTTCCATAACATTTCTTCTGGTTATGTTTGCTTCGCATCGACCTCGCGTCTTCCGATCCCGTCTGGGCTGCTGCATTTGCGGTGCTAAGTCCTCCAGTTCGCGATTCACGTCTTCGTCAAAATATGAAGTGCTATTTAGTGGTTGCTTTCAGTTGAATGAGAAAAGACAAGGAGAGATCTGCAATGCCTGTGTTCTCCTCGTGAAGCGCTGGAAGAAACTGCCGCCTGGAAGCTCAAAAAACTGGAAGCATGTAAGCTTAAGCAAAACTTTTGTTTTCTTTCCAATTCTGTAATTTTCCAACCCGCTGTCATTTCCGCTCCGTAATTTTTGAGTCAGTGAATCGTAACTTTTTATTCGTGCAGGTTGTAGACAGCAAAGCAAGTGTGAAAAGGACTACAAAACCAAGAAGAAGCTCAAGGACTTTGAGCTTAGAAAACGGGAAAGAAATGACATCGACTGCCAACGGAAGAGCAACAAGTGGCCGAAATGATAGTTGTGGAGCCGAGTCGACCCGAGGTGAGTTCTTTTGTCTATTGTCCTGTGATACTCTTCGCTCTTTCCTTGGCTTACCTGGATGACAGTCGTCTTGCAGTTTGAAATTAATCTTTGAGTTAGTCATAAGGCCAGTGAAAGCGATGAAGAAGGTTTTTATCGTTCAATTTCAAGTTATACAGAGCGTTGACTTTTAATTAAATGAGTTAAGTTCAATCCCTTTTGTAGATTTCTTCTTCTTCAGTCGTGCACTAAACACCTAAAAGCAATTTTTAAATTATTATTTAAATCTCATTTTGTTATAACATAAATACTAGCAAAAAAACAGTGATAATTTGAAATGGTTAGAGTTCGTACGACAGCACGTGCATGTAGATTAAACCTATCCTTATTAAATTTTCCTCATGACCGTATAAATTTTTTTGTTGTTGTTATTACATGTGACTTGAGCTTAAAGACGTGGACGTGGACAAAATGCTAATACTGTTCATCATATTTTCTGCGGAAGGTTTTATTTCAATAATATTACTCGTGTTTTTAAGTACAGTAAATAATTTTCCAGGCCATTCCCACAATAAATATGTTTGACATTCGTGAACAAAACAATGCCATTGTACGCCAGGGGAAAAATCCTGCTACTGAAAAGAGGCTACAATGCTGTCTTGAGATGAGGATTTCACCAAAAAGTAAGAAAAGCACATGTTAATCAAACATGACAACATATCCTTAAGGGGCTGACCATTTGACTTTTAAGGCAGGATATGGGTGATTTCAGGAAAAAAATATCCTGCATACTAATTTTGAGGGGGAAAAATCTTGCAAGAAAAAAACCTGGGGAAAAGAATGACCTGTAATGAATAATAATATATCTTATGGCGTATAATGCTGCAAACAAAAATCTTACACCATTATATGTTGGGGAAAAAAATTCCATCCTTAGAGGTTTGGAAAAAAAATTCTTGCCCAAACCAAATCACCCATACCCTCTGCCCCCTCAAAAGTTAAATCCTTCTAACTCCTCGACAATGTTATGGAAGGACTGTTATTGTCACTCAAACTTTGAAACTTGTGGACAAAATTCCACGTGGTTGCTGTTTGTATAAAACCTCTCTGGCAAAACTTTGCAAAGTGTTGTTTTTTTTCCTGAGGATTTACGAAAAGAAAGTTAAATTTTCTTGCGAATTGGTTCTTTGGCTGCCATTAGAAGTGAAATGGTTTACTCAGATGAATCAGGCACTTGACGACTCCAGACTGTAATTTCTTAAAATATGAGCACTTTGGCAATAGACCTTGACACTGCTAAAAAGAGCACCTTAATCCATTCACCTATAACAACCAGTGCAGATGCACGTCCCTTCTACCGCTTGTGATGTCATCAGTTTTAGTAGTCAAGGACAACTTTGTTCGCTAACGTGAGCAGAGTGAAGAGATCTTTCAAACCATGCTAGAACAGCGTGCAAAGATAGTAGTGTCCGATAGCCCGGGGCTAGTGGATTTTGCTATCGAGCTAGTGAATTCTGTCTTTAACTTGCCCAACGGGCAAGTGATGTCTTTTGAGGAATGCAAATAACAGAAGAACCGTGAAATCAATTATGCCAGTCAAAAATTTTTGGGGGCTAGTTGAAATGACGTCTGGGCTGGTAAATGCTAAAATGTAGAAATGATTTTCTTTGCACCCTGCCAGAATGATCACAATTCAGTGACGGACACTGGAGAAAAACTGAGAAAAACCATGTAACGTTGACCTGAAAATTGCCATGAAAATCTTGTTCCACCACCCACCTACCTTTCCTTTCAAATAATCCTAAGATCCTAAAAGCTTTCCTAAAATTTTTCCCACCAAAATGAAGCCTACTAAATGGCCAGCAGAAGAAAAACAAATGAGGCAAGAAAAGCAAAACAAGAGGGAGGAGAGAAAGCAAAAACTAAAAGTCAAGGCTGCTGTGTTACTTTTAAACCCAAAAAATTTTGGACTTTCTGCACATGCCCGAACTTCACAAGCTAATATTTTGCATCTGGATCAGAAAACTGCAAAGTGTACGACCTGTAAACCGGTTTTTGGTAAGTTTTAGATCTTAAAAGCACGACAGTGACCAGAAAACCGCTCGACTAGCTTCAAAATGTGTTTTTGGGCAAAGTCTCCCCGGGCGATGGGTTAAATATGTTAGCACCAAGGATGAATGAGTATAGCATTTGCACTTTTACATTACTAATTCTTCTCTTGATTTGCAGATGAAGATGAAATGGAAACAGACAGTGGTGACTTGTCACCAACTTTGATGTGTGGCTCGCCCAGTCCTAGTCCCAGTGACATGTCAGATGAGTTTTCATCCAGTTCATTAACTACCCAGCCTGTCAAAAGCGTCTCCACAGCTTCGCAGACTTCATTTCTATTTCCTTCCCTTACATCTTCGACAAAAAATAAGCTTCCTTTTATTGACCTCTCTACATGGCGCCGTGAAGAGATCTGCTGTGGCACTATATTCAGGGGTCCTTATGGTGAGGTCCTTGTTGACCCCAAGCTTTTGAACCCTGTTTGCACCTGTTCATGTAGTTCACGGCCCCCTGTGACCGTTAGCCATCCAAAGACTGTACAGTAAACTGGTACATGAAAGGTTTTCAAATACATACTCTAATATCCATTATTTTATTCTGTCTGCCAAGGAGGTTTTTTATCTTTTCAGTTTTTTAGCTTTTTCAGCGTACCATAATTCATTTTTTGGCATCACATGAAAAGTCAATCAAATCCAAACCAGTTTACCATCATCTAAGAACAGTTTTATTTCATGTTTCTTCACATCATACATGATTTGAATTTTTTTTTTTGGCATTTCTATACGTTTCATACAGTTGTACTTATTTTGAATTTTTTTCCTTTTGACAGAAATTATGTATATATAATTACTAAAAAGAAAATACCGCATTATTCTATAAATTTTTACATTCTGAGCTTTTTGAAAATGTTGATCAGCCAATTAAACCAAATAATTTTTTTTCCAACAGTCATGAGGAAAAAGAATTTAAAACAATCATCCAATCTAATGAATAAAAAAAACCCCAGAACTTATTCAACATAATTTTCACACACATTTTTACTCTAAAAATATGATTTTCACACTTCCTGCTGTCAGCATAATAAATATTATTTGTACCTAGCCTGTGTAGCAGGTGTTGAAAGGGGTAGGGGTGAGGGAGGAAGGGAAAAAGGAGGGGGATTGGGGAGAGAGGGTAAGGGATGCCTGCTCTAAGAACCCCCTTTTGTTCGTTGCTGCAGACGCTGGCGTCTGCAAATTCCTGATTGGCTAAGCTGTGATGAGTAACTTACTGGCATGTATCCCAGCATATATTAGTGAGAGACAAACATGATGAAGGCATCAAGGAAAAGAAAGATCAAAATTACTCAAATCAGGTAGAAACTTCATGTTAAAACCTAAACTGGAATCAACTATAATAGCTTGTTTAGCAGGCAGAGATGCTCAGGAGGTTTTGTATACTGGATTTGTCCAAACACTGAGTGGCAATTCCAAGCGATTGTGATTCTTGCCAGTTGTCTGCTATGCCGATATTCACAAGACTGCCTTTTGCGCAAGAACCTAATTTTTTATACCATCTTGAATGAACCTCTAAATGGTTTGAAAAAAGAGAGCTGAAGCTTTGGTAAAAACTATCCATTGAGCTTTTTGACAATTGTTTATAATTCTCCTTTCATTATTGGCGTCTCAGGCTACTGGTGACTATTCTGTTCTTTGTGACCATTCTGTTTGATGAGGTAAGACCAAAGGTCTTGTGTATTCACACGAAACTGATCATTGTTTGAAACTGATCATTGATCATTGTCTTAGACTGCGAGCAGTAAAAAGAGAGAAAGACTGCGCGGAGTCTTATTATGTTGGTGGTGTGTGCTTCGGGAGCAAGAACAGTAAAGATGTTTTATTTTGCTTTATTAAGATATCATTTTGAAAAAAGCGTCTTGACGTGACAGTTAATTAGGTAATTAAGTTCAGACCATGCTGAGAAGCACCTTACTTGTGATTGGTCAGGTATTGACAGCTGACATTATTGGTTTAGTTCAGAAAATGGTGGGTTGAATACTAAAACACCAGCTCTTATAGCAGGTGCTCTTTTCCGTCTTTCATGTTTTTCTCCCTCCCCCCTCCCCCTCCTCTTTTTTCACCTGCCATGCAGGCTGTTAGTACCTGCACTTTGATAATAACTATGTAGGCGTTCCAAGATGAGTGTCCTCGTTCTTTCACCTAATCATACAACAAAGTAGATAATAGCCTACATGTACAAATGGGTCTACTTATTTGTGGTTGTGGCTTCTTTACTTTTCAGTTAGAAAAAAGTAATAACCAGAAATATTTTTGTGTTCACAGGCTAACAATAAAAGTTAATAATATTGATGAATTTAATTTTGATAACTATTTCTAATCCCTATAGAAACAAGATTTTGGTCCAGAACAAGAAAGCTTGTTTGCCCAATAGCCCAGGGAGGGGGTGGGGTGGCACTTCTTGTCCAAACGATAACCTGTAATTCAAGTTTTTCTCCAAGCTCTGCTCAGAATCTTGATATAGTTGTTTAACCTTAAGTAGCTAGCAGTTGCTTTTGAAAACATCTCGAGTAGCCAGTACCTAGGTTAACCCTAAGTAGTTAAAATATATAATAATATTGAAAATACCTCGCAACATAACCCTACTGTAAGTGTACATATTTTATAGCTTCATACCTGTTTACAGGAATTTTTGCCATTTTTTGCAGGCGTAGATAGATTTTCCAATTTTTAAACTTTCATTTGAAAAGTATTGTTGATGGGGACTAGAAACAAAAAGGCAATTGCCAGAATCTTATACTGATCCAGTAGCTTGGTTAGTTTTGTAGCAGGTGAAATCAATCCCAACATGACTGTCTGGTGAGTCATTTTTTAATAGAATGTGTTCTTGGTGTATATATATTTTATTTGCCTCTTTTCACCCTTTAAGTCCCAATGGTGACTAACACCAATTTTCTCCTGACGATATCCATACAATGTCAAGAGATTAGGTTATGAGTATTAATGAAATGATCACCTAAGAGATAATGCCTTGATCTTTTATCAAATTCTCTCAACTCATTCTTTATGGAAATGTAAAGAGATCAGTTTGGAGAATTTGTATGTGGATATTGGGACTTAAAGGGTTAAGTGGCAAGGAATCTGGAGCTGAAATGCATTTTGCAATTGTCTCTGGGATCATTACTGGGGATGCGCTGTTCAGCTATTGACCAATTTTTTTTAGCCTGTCCCGAGTAACAGCTGTTTCTCCTTGCTTCTCGTGGCTAAGGATGTTTTGTCAGGAGGAACCTCTGCGACTCAGTGACAGAAATTTGGTACTGATGATGTAAAATCTGCCCAGAATCTGTTCAGGAGCTCTGATTACTTGATGTAGTAGGTATATTGTTTTACCTTTTGTTTACGAATGACAGACAAAAGATAAAAAGCCACAAAGGTCAAATGTAAACATGATGAATCTACTACAAACCAGTCACTATTCCTAGAATATAATCTTCTCTAGAAAAAGCATCTGACTTTTGCTGGAGCTCATTTGCGGAGAACAGAAAACTTTACCATAATCAACAAGGAGAAACATAAAATCAAACAAATTTACATTTGGAACCTCATGACTACCGGATTTATTATGTAAACATTGATTTACGTCATCAGTATGGAATTTCTGTCACTTAGTCGCAGATGTTACTCCTGGCAAAATGTCCCCTAGCGGTGAGGAGCATGGAGAAACAGCTGTATTCACAGGCTACCTTGTAACAGTCCCAGAAGTTTTTGTCAAAGTTAACTGCTCCCAGTTTCCTTCTTAGTTCTGACACAGAGAATTATCTGAAGCCATCAAAGAACTGAAACATCTTTTGGAGCATATTGTTCCAGATTATGTATGTAATTAGTAGAAATCTTCTGTTTCCAAGGAAACATTTTGAAATAGTTTTTGTTTTTTTCACAAATTTGAGATAGTTAACAACCAGGGAATTTACTATCTGCTTTCTTATAATAGCTCCTTTGTGGTGTAGAATATTGTATAGGTATTTTTACATTACTGTTTTTTTTTTTAAAACTTGTTAAGATGAGATAGTAATATATATACTTCATGGATAATACAACGTTACAATAGATTTGTTACAATCCAGCGTTTATCTTCATAAATTAAAAGGTAGTGAAACTGGACAAATTTAGCAAGGTTCCTTGTTTTTCATTTGTTTTGTTTTTAAATAACAATAATAATGATTTTCATCATTTGTTACTGTTGCTATTATTATTTGTATTATCGATCTCTTAATCTTTACTTACGTCTTCTTATTGGGAAATTGGTACGGAAAATGGACAGCAATAGATTTATATCTCACCTCATGGATCAGAAACCTATCCATATTGACATTTATGTCATCCACCGGGACTTTTGACTTGATTTTTTCATAACTCTATGTGATTTCTTGGAATTTTGAATTGCGAAGGGGTTTTGCCGGAATTTTGTATTGATCTTGACATTTCCTTTTTTATGAATATTTTTTGAAGTTTTGTGTTCAGCTTTATATAAGATTTTAATAAAGTATTACAATTATTTATAAAAAATAACATTAATTTTGATAAAAATTATTATTACTATTGAACTCCATGTGTGACCACCTCCCATAAGCGACCACCCACCTTCCAAAATACTAAAACTTTCCCAGTCAAGACCTTCCAGTTGGGCCCCTTTTGTAAAAGACCACCTCAGCTCCAGTAAGCGACAGTGACCACTTTTGGGGGCTGACGTTAATGATTCTCCAGTGTTTTTAACCCCTTGCAAGCAACCGCTTGATGCATTGTCTGATCTCTATGTTCTTGTGTGTACTATGCTACTTACAATATATGAAGAACTTAAGTAACAACATGGAACTGCATATATCATAACTTTTTATATCTTTCATAAAGTAGATGTGTCCAGACATTTCAGAAGAGACTCCCTCTGATTCTTTTCTCATAATAAGTGACCACCTTACGTCAGCGACCACTTAAAGTCTCTGCAATTTGGTCGCTTACAGGAGGTTCAACCGTATTATTATTATTATTATTATTATTATTATTATTATTATGCTATTTGTAATCCCTGACTTGCATATTTAGTCTCTAAGCACAGGGGAGGATGTGAGCTGTTTCCCAAAAGAGTAATATTTATGATTTTGATTATGATTATGATTATGATGATGATGATGATGATGATTATATTGTGGAATCTAAGGTTTAAAAGGTTTACATAACCCTTGGGAGCAAGCAACAACAAGTTCCTAAAGTCCCCAAAGGAGTCGTTACATTTGAGTCCCTAAATAGCCAAAACTTTCCGTAATAGTCCAGCTGTTTCCAACAGAGCCACTTTCTGGATCACTTCAAATCTGATGGTAACGTTAAGCTTTCCCGCGTATTTCTCAAACAAATCGGATACAGCTATTAATGCCCCAATCACAACTGGCACAACCGTCACTTTCTTCAGCTTCCACAACTTTCCTATTTCTTCTCGAAGAAATTGGCACTTCTCTATTTTCTCCAGTTCTTTGTCGTTAACTCGTGCATCTCCAGGGATAGCGATGTCTACGATCTTAGCCTCCTTTGCCTGCTTATCAATGAAGATAATTTCCGGCCTTCTATTGTAGCTTCAATCATCTTATCACACTGTACATTGAAATCCCATAGAACTTTAAAGCCTGTCTTTTTTCCCACTTTGCCCGTTCCAGTTCAGCTTTCCCACACAGCTGCCAATGCGCATATCTCGCCACATTGTCATGTCGCCTCCTATAAATCACGTTGGGCGAACTTGCTGTACTCACTTGTCACTAGGTGACTTAACACTTTCTCCCTTCTCTAGCCCCGCACATCCCACATATTAGGTGCTTCTGAGGTTTTGTTAGTATGAAACTGCTTGCAGGGGCGGATCCAGGGGAGGGGCCCGGGGGTCCCGCCCCCCTTATTTTTCGACCAAAATGAGGCCCGAAGGGCCGAAAAAAATATTTTGGAGACCGGGGCCCCCCTTATCTCAGGGTCTAGATGACCGGGCCCCCCCTTATCTCAGGGTCTAGATGACCGGGCCCCCCTTATCTCAGGGTCTAGATGACCGGGCCCCCCTTATCTCAGGGTCTAGATGACCGGGCCCCCCCTTATCTCAGGGTCTAGATGACCGGGCCCCCCCTTATCTTACGCTCTGGATCCGCCACTGGCTTGATATAGTTAGTTCTTTAATCAAGCTTGTTCTTGTGCGCTTTAGATCAAAGCTTCTGTACATCATTTCAGGTTGCCCTTCCCCAACCACTGCCATGGTTTCTCCCTGACATATTACCCCTGCATTTGTTTTTCTTTCCATTTGTTTTCCATTTCTCACTTTTTACTCTTCTTATACTCCTCTGGATCCTTTGCCTTATCCCCTTTCACTGTTCTTTTTTCACCTACTTTCCTGAGCAAAACCTCGGAATTCCTTACATGGCGACTCAAATTATTATTATTATTATTCCTCACGACATTTTTTATCTTTCTTATCATTCCAAAGAATGTTTTCCACGTTTCTCACAGTCTGGGCAACAACGTCGTTTATCCGAGGCTGGACATTGGTTAAGTTTGAGCAGAAACTCAATGTGTGCGTGACCACCAGGCAGGGTCTTGGGACCCCTACTTTTTAATGTTTTTTCTCAGTAACCTGGCCCACTTTATAATTGGAGCTCATCGTAACGCATATGCAGATGATCAGCAACCGTACTATTCTGATACTGATCATATGGCTCTGCTCACCCAACTCAATAATGAGCTCTCTATAGCAGTGGACTGGTTCAAGCACAACGGTTTAATGGCCAAACCTAACAAATTCCAGTTAATGCTACTGGGAGATGATCACGAGTTTTCAGTTGTTGTTGATAGGATAGAGATTACCAGGTGTCACAATATTGATTTTCTGGGCGTTAACATTGACTCTATAAGTTTTATACTACTACATGAGAAATTTCTGCAATTTGATTGGCTAAGAACAGTGGTATTTCAGCTTACTGCGCTTTTCATAAACATGCGAATTCTGAAGTTCAAAAGCCAACTGACGATTGCATTTTTCGCTGGCGTCAATCATCTTAACGGACCTCTTAGGAAACAAAACTTTAGTTTAACGGGTTCAAAAGGTCATGGTTTGTGATTTGTGATTGGTGGATTTCGATCCGTCTTGTGCTTCTGTGTTTCAAGGTTCGTGGCTTGTGATCGTAATTATGATTGACGGCAGCGAAAAACGCAATTGTGAAGGCGCCTTTTGAACTTTAGAGTTCGCATGTTTGTGAGAGCGCAGTAATTTGAAATAACTACATGTGGAAATTACAAACCTTTTGTGGGTAATAGTATAAACAAATAATAGCATGATTTGCACGTGATATTTGGCATAAATACCACTCGTTATATTTCAAAATTGTCCCAAATTTCACTCGCCTAACGGCTCGTAGGCTGCGAGCAAGCTATCCTATTTGGGCAAGCGAAGTGAGCCTCGCGAGAACGCGCGAGCGGGGGGCCGCGCGTTCTCGCGAGACTTGTTTCACACGCCCAAATAGGAGAGCTTGCTCGCAGGCTAAACGGCTCGTGAAATTACGTATAACAATTTTGAAATATCACTCGAGGTATTTATGCCAAATATCACTACAAATCATGCTATTACCTATACTAATTTTGATAGACGCGTTTGAAATTTGCACAGTAGAGTAAATAAGCAACTTCAAGTTATAAAAAGATTTAGAAAGTTGATAACAGGACAAACAAGGTTAAAGCTATATAATGCATTTATTACAGCCTGTTTTCGTTATTGTAGCGATATGTGGCATTTTTGCAGTGCGCACAGCAGACACAAATTAGAACAGTTAAATAAGCAGATACTTAAAGTAGTGTTAAAAGATTCATCCAGCATTTACGAGGATCTACTTACCAAACTTAATATGACCAATCTGGAGGCAGGACGGGTGCAAAGCATGATGGTGACATTGTACAAATGTTTAAATGGAATGGCCCCGTCTTACCTCAGAGCGTACATTCAAGAGTGGCGTGTATCAAATTATAATTAGAGAGGCTCTAACATGCTGCAAATACTGCGTATTAGGACTAATATATGGTTTACGATCTTTTAGATATTATAACCCTTATGCCTGGAATGACCTTTCCGATGATATCAGAAAATCTGATACGATTGCCGGCAACTTTGAAACGAAATATCATAAACGCAAAATCATAGACTACATTTACTAATAATTTTTTTTCTTTTTCTTTTCGGTTTTTATATTAGGATACTTTATAAATAACTACGATAGTACGCGCGTTCTGATTGGTTAAAAACTTGTGGTTTATTGTGCCGGTAAACTCACACTTGGGATGTTGGGAAAACACAAGAAAAGCTAATGTAAATCACTCGCCTTCGGCTCGTGAAGTATCAAGCTTTTCTCGTATTCTCCCAACATCTCACGTGGGTTATCAAGCCGGTAAACCCATAGAAAGTGTGGTCTATTGCTTAAATAACTAATTTTTTATCGGTTCTTATTTATGTGGTTCTGAGAAACCAGCACCATGTGCTACACTACAATTCGAAGTAAAATAAAGTTATGAACTAATGAATGCAGCAGCCTCGACTTCAAGCTAGTTCCAGTTCTCGACTAAAATTCAAGACTTGCTAGTTGAGAGGCTCACGTCTTGTTGTTTACTGATAACAACTTTCTTGGAGAGTTTGCAGAAACAAAAAAGTCGTATGAATTCTTTTCTGTATTCCCTATGATAATACCAGTATATAAAAGGATTTATACACGAGTTAACGAACGCAATAACATTGCACGCTTTGTGGAACGGACTNGCAAAGCATGATGGTGACATTGTACAAATGTTTAAATGGAATGGCCCCGTCTTACCTCAGAGCGTACATTCAAGAGTGGCGTGTATCAAATTATAATTAGAGAGGCTCTAACATGCTGCAAATACTGCGTATTAGGACTAATATATGGTTTACGATCTTTTAGATATTATAACCCTTATGCCTGGAATGACCTTTCCGATAATATCATAAAATCTGATACGATTGCCGGCAACTTTGAAACGAAATATCATAAACGCAAAATCATAGACTACATTTACTAACAATTTTTTTTCTTTTTCTTTTCGGTTTTTTTATTATGATAACTACGATAGTACGCGCGTTCTGATTGGTTAAAAACTTGCTGTTTATTATGCCGGTAAACTAACACTTGGGATGTTGGGACAACCCAAGAAAAGCTAATGTAAATCACTCGCCTTCGGCTCGTGAAGTATCAAGCTTTTCTCGTATTCTCCCAACATCTCGCGTGGGTCATCAAGCCGGTAAACCCATAGAAAGTGTGGTCTATTGCTTAAATAACTAATTTTTTATCGGTTCTTATTTATGTGGTTCTGAGATACCAGCACCATGTGCTACACTACAATTCAAAGTAAAATAAAGTTATGAACTAATGAATGCAGCAGCCTCGACTTCAAGCTAGTTCCACTTCTTGACTAAAATTCAAGACTTGCTAGTTGAGAGGCTCACGTCTTGTTGTTTACTGATAACAACTTTCTTGGAGAGTTTGCAGAAACAAAAAAGCCGGATGAATTCTTTTCTGTATTCCCTATGATAATACCAGTATATAAAAGGATTTATACACGAGTTAACGAACGCAATAACATTGCACGCTTTGTGGAACGGACTACTAACGCTAGTGATACCAAACGGAGTTAAAGTGTAACTCAATTGGGCGGGAAGCCAACACAATGTGAACACAACAGCTGTCAAAGCGCACATGCGCAGTATGATCTTTTGCTGTTTTTCCCGGCGCTCACTCTGTGATGATTTAATATTCAGCTTAAAAGGTGCACGAAACCTTATATGTGCAAAGGTAAGCCACGTGATAAAACAAGGGATTACAAAAGTACTGAAACTGTAGACTGCAAGGAATGCTTGTGCACCTTCTCTACCATAAGGAATATCAACAGGAACGCATTTATTTCCACTGAGTTTTAGCTCCAGAAATTTGTGACTTTGCAAAGCACAGCTAGCGATCCAAGAAACCACTATGTAAATTATGAGTCTTCTTCTTCCAAATTGTATTTTGTACTTTATTGGTCTCATCACACAGTACCAGCGTTCCACGGCAAGACATGTGACCAGCAAAATGGATACTTTGGCCACAGTAAAGAGGAGGTACCTATCACCCAGTAGCGCGCAAAACAGCTCACCACCAAACCCGTCAGCTATTGGAAACAAGGGTTCATCTGAGATGTAACCGGGTGTTAAAATCACAAATGCTCCTGTCAAGAAAGAAATTAATTCAGGGTTGGTACCCACTAAAACAAACATCAGGCCCCGGTTGTTCAAACGCTGCACAGGGATGCCAACTAGATATAAATCACGGCAGATAAGTATAAGGAAAACAATTCCGTTATAGTAGTAGCCTGGGACCAGGCTCCGCATTGGAGGAAAAAGGAAAAAAAAGGTAGGGTAGTCTGGGGAGGTGAAAGGGTGAAGGATGGCGCCCCTTTCCCCTCCCCAGGCCATCGCTGGGCTCGCTTCGCTCGCCGATATTTTTCGTATTTGACCCCGTTTTTTGTCTTTTTCCCCCACTGCAGAGCTTGGTCCCAGGCTATATAATACGGACTTTAACATTCATCGACGCGACAGCAACGAGAACGTCTAAAAAACAATAGGTAATTTAATAAGCAAAACAACGACTTTGCACGTGCATCACAGCTTTTTCGAACATTTCTTTGCCGTTTTGCACAATAACGACCTAAAAATGCCTTATTTTGTGTTTTATGGAGAAAATAAACAAACAAAGGCGAAGTTATATTTCGCTCTCTGAACTTGAATACGGTCTCTTGGAATTTAATTTAATTTAAAAGGGTTCGCTTACATTTGGCAAAGTAAGAAAGTAGGAATAATCGCGATAAAGACTGGAAGAACGCAAATTCACTTTTTAAGTGACGTTGTCGTTGCTGTCGCGTCCTTAGCCAGCGAGCAAGCTCTCGCCGCTCGCTCACGAGTTCTCGCGAGACTGGTTTCACTCGCCCAAACAGGAGAGCTTGCTCGCAGGCTTTCCAAAAAAAAATATTTTTCGGCCCTTCGGGCCTCATTTTGGTCCAAAAGTAAGGAGTGGGCCCTACACTGGATCCGGCACTGTATACTACTAATCTACCATCCTAGTGTATGACGAAAGTGCAGTTAAATCAAAGTATGCATACTGTACCTGTAAGTAGATCGGTCACGGCCAAGTTAAACAGAAGAGAATTATGTGGCTTTTTGAGCATGGCACGTTTCTTCAAGAGCACTACGCAGAAGGCAAGGTTGAACACAAAAGCACAGCTCGCTATTATACTGAAGGCAACTTCAAGAGCATCCTGTGATTGGCTAGCAAACAATTCTGAATCTGTCTCGGTCGGAGCTGGAGTCATAGTCTTTTTCTGCTCTCAAATATGATGATATACTCGCTTTTCATGAAGAACGGACTGCAAACGTAAGTACAACACTTAATTTTGTGAGGAATCGGATTTGCTATAAGGAATGGGTTGGGTGGGTACAGTGAGCTCATAAATGGACTGAGAGCGGCTGCCAGTGGCGCCTTTGTATGCTGACGTCGGAGCTTACTGTTCACATGTTAAAATGTATTGTAAGAGGGTACGTCTGTTGTCCTCTCATCCACGACTCTTCATTCATTCATTTTAAGCTCCATCTCAAACACTTTGCGTCCTAACTGTGATATCTCGATGTAAATTCTGTAGAAACGGATTTGTCAATGCATAGTATTAAACAGGATGGTTACCATTCTTCAAAAAGTAGCAAAATTTAGCGTTAATTGTTAACTAAGAACTTGTATTAAAATTGCGTAGTGAATTACCTCACCAGTTAACTTGTACTTTTTTCAAGAGCAAACGTTTTCGATATATATCTAACAAGACGCTGTGGGAGCGTATATTTGGGCATCGTTATACTAGGCTTATGTGATGTCTTTTACGTGTACAGTTGTATGGTCTGAGCTCTTCTGGCGACCACTCTCGTAATCTACCAGCTCTGGTTACGACCGCCTTTGTGAAACCCCGTTTGAACTGTGACTTAAACTTTGTAATGAAAAGCTCTCGTAAGCGAACGCAACCACTTTTGGGATTACCCAACTGGACTTTTCTTTTGTTTTTAAGCTGTCTTAAGCGACCACTCAGCGACCGCTCAGTCTTTTTCATATGAATCGACACTTTAATGATAATGCACACTGCGCTAATGGTCTAAACATTTGGACGTAAAGTTAAGCCTCTTCTACATCACATGTAAAGACACTCATTAAACATTGGTAGTATGAAGATGGGGGTATGAAGATGTTTTGAGGGGGGCTGAAATTTGGGTGTGTGGGTTCGGGGGGCTTTGAAAAATGGGTGAGGTCAAGGGGCAGGGGGTAAAATCTGGCTGTTAAACTAAGGGCCTGATTACATGAACCGGGCCGGCAAAAACAAACAAACAAATTACCTCCTTTATGGTAAAATTTTCAAAGACCAAAAAGTGCACTCGCTGGCTCGTGCACTTTTGTTGGTCTTTGGAAAATGTACTCGTGCTTATTTATTCCAAATTGCACTCGAAATCATGTGATTACCTATTCTAACATCAATAAACTGTAATATGAAATTATCAAACTACCGAACCACTTTAAAGGAGATTTTAGCCTTTTTATGCTTAAGGAAGTATTTCATGACAGTTTTGAAAATTTCAAACTTGTCGAAGCCTGCAGGTTAAGCTGAAACCTTCTTTTTAGTTGACATCTTTTCCAACGGAGCGAATGCAAATTCTTGTGTATTTAAAAAAAAAAACAAGAACGCGCTTAGAGCGGCCTACAAGTCTCGCCTGCTTGGAGATTAGATCGAAAAATGAAGAAGCGATTAATTCTACAAGAAACATGATTTACTCGCTAAAGGTTTTTTACCTCCTACTTTATCGACGTCGATACTTTTTATTTGTTTCTGAATTGATTTAGTACGCGTGTTAGCGACGACCAAAAATACCTCTCCGGTAGCAAGCTATAAGCGTGTATAAATACACGAAAATTCAAGGGCCTCGATTCCAGAGAAATTACATCATTAACAGGTATCGAAAACGTGATTTACATGGCACGTCATTTCAATCATCGCCGAAAATAAATCGCATGCTTATCACAAGACTCATTTGCATACAGTAAAAGTTTTCAACACCCGACCATCGCAATTTTGCTAATTAAGATTCTTATTTTTTTTTCAAACACTCAGTATTGTTCACTTGCTCCAAAGTAATCAACGCTTTCAAGCGATAGAATTCGTGGACCGACACGTTACGGAAAAGCCCTAAATTTAACCTTTCCTAAGCTTTCTTCGCAAAACATGCGTGGCTTCGATCACGCAACGATTCTTAGTCCCAGTTTCTACGGTCACCGCAAGGAACGCCTGGCACAATGACCTGCCTTTTGTGTCCTAAATTACGACCAAAAATTCCGGGGGGGGGTACTTCCAGAAATATTGGGAGGGGTGTGCGGCACGCTTCCTGAAACCCTTACCCTATTTCAGACCAAAATCTGTGATTTTCCTGATTTTCCCTACCCTAATTAAGACCTGAAGCGCAAAAGCCTTGCGCGTGACCAGAGCGCGTGACAAGCTGTTACGGCACGTACAAGGTAGTTGGTGTCAACATTAAAAGAGAGAAGGTCTTATCGCCAAATGATGAAGAAGTAGCTAATTCTTCTAAAAAACAGATACCTAATTGAAGACTAGAGTGCACAAGTGCGCTACAGTGCGCAGATTATGAGTCTCGCTGCTTACGCAAGCAAGACTAATAAACCGACGGGGCAGAAGTTCTGGATTAATTCCTTGCACTGAAAGGCGGTTAAATCGGTTTAAACGAAGATGTCTAAAATAGTATAAGTTTTTTTTATTCTTGAGCTTTCATTTAGCTTACA